AAGTGCTTTAACAAACTTAAAGTGGCCTTTCCATTATTCCAAATGTGTACATACTGTATTTGTATGCACTGGAGAACTTTGAAAAACTCTCCCTTTTCCCTAATGCTGTGCAACACTTCAAACAGCCTGCCAACTTTGCAATGGACCATAAAAGGAGAGTTGGGGATTGGCAGAGGTAGGGATCAATGGAAGGTTGTGTGTGGTCTGTGAACAAACTTAAAGTGGCCTTTCCATTATTCCAAATGTGTACATACTGTATTTGTATGCACTGGAGAACTTTGAAAAACTCTCCCTTTTCCCTAATGCTGTGCAACACTTCAAACAGCCTGCCAACTTTGCAATGGACCATAAAAGGAGAGTTGGGGATTGGCAGAGGTAGGGATCAATGGAAGGTTGTGTGTGGTCTGTGACAGGGATCAAACCACATCAGACTAAGGATGCAGCGGGGTCACTGTCACCAAAACAACCAGTGTTCTCTGTGTGGTCACCTAATCTAAATAGACGTGTAAAATTAGTTGCGGATCAAGCCACAGCAAAGCTGAATTGTTGAAATCCTGTTGTGTAACATAGGCAAATCTATAAGTTTTGCTGTGTTCCTTGCCCAACCAAGAGCTGACTTGGTGCTCTTTATTTACTGTCAAGAAACTGGCCAAAACTTCTGAATGTGCTTATGTTACACACAGCAGGATTTTCAGCCACTGTCATCTTGTTCTCTTTGTTATTGTTTCAACATGCATAACAAAGCATGTGCTGAACCATTATTGATATTCCTCCCCAATCCCACTAAACTATAAGAGGAGCTAAGAAGTTATGATTTCACTGCAAAGTAACTGATTTGTTACTTGACATTCAGCTTCACTAAACCTTAGCTGCCGCTTAAGACAAACAGCTAGTCAGCTGGCATTTTTACCTCAGGCTGTCCGAGAAGGCTTCTACGCCGAACTTGGAAACACAGTAGTTTCCTCCAGAGCTTGCCAATCTTCCAGATGTACTGGCCACGTTGACCACCCTCCCTCTGGCTTTTCTCACCAGGGGCATCATGTGCAGTGTTACGTCGACCACCCCAAGGAGGTTAACATTTATCATCTTTGCAAAGTCCTCCTTGGTCAGCCATTCATTGGGGCCTGTAGGAACAACTATACCAGCATTGTTTACTAGGCCCCAGAGTCCTGTGACAAAAGATAATTTATAAATTATTATAGTTTATTTACATGTTATGTAGATGTAAGAAAATTCTGGGCAGTGTTTCCTTTTACATCGGTCCGGGTTTTTAAAAATACAGATTATAAATGAGAGACAAAGTCTCAAAATGTAGAAATCACATTTTTTTATTCTGTATTTCTTTAAATGAGTCATTTAAAAGCCCTGGCTCAACGTGTTTCAACAAATCCTTCTTTAGGAGCTAAGCATAACAGAAAACCAATTTCCCTTTTTAGTAAAAGCCTTTCACAGTTACCAGGAACTCTGTCCACGGCCCAGAACACCAGATCTTTTATTGTATGGTTCTTTTCTGTAAAATGGCCAACTTAGAGGACTGCCTAATAGTTTATTTCTTAAATTACTAAGGTGTTCACCCATTCATACTTTAAGAGGTCTAGAGGTGTGTTGTTGTTTTTTTATAGAATCTGGCCAAATTAGATAAAGACCTAAAGAATTTTCATGAAGAGCTCAAAGAATTTAAATATTAAAAAAAACTCCTAAGAGTTAAAAGGATTATGCCACTAATAAGATTTGCCCTTGGCAATACAAGAAGCCCAAAAAAGTTTATTTCAATCTGGACATGAACTCCACAGCTTAGTACACAGACTGGGAATCTGCAGGCGAGGGCAGCAGTGATGACAGCAGACCTTTTTTAGAATCAGAGGGAAGAGAAAGAAAACAGAGGAGATATGGCCACACCACAAAGGGCAGAGCAGCCCCCAAGGAAACTTCTTGTCCACTCTGGTTCACAGGAAGTCGACAATTGTAAACCTGCTCAACGGGCAATTAAGTAACAGTGAGATGAATGTTTTAGAAAAAGGATTATCTTTTGTCCCCACACCCGGACATGATTCTACTCAAGTGAGACTGGATCTGTTCCGTTTCTTTAGGAATGTTAAATTAAGGCACTTCTTTGGTAAGTCAGAATCACATTCTGGGGTAGATAGAGCTAATTTTAGATGTAAATCTTGCTTTATACCCCCAGGCAACTCTGTCCCCACTATGACAACATTTTGAAAAATTGGTTTTAAAAGATTTGGATAGATTAGAGAAGTCCAGTAAATCCCCATGGAACAACATGAGTAAGGCAGAGAAGCATGCCCTTAGATCCCTCTCTTCTGATCCATTTATTGTGATAAAAAGAGCTGATAAAGATGGGGCCACTGTTATTCAGAACACCAATGAGTACAAGCAGGAAATTCTTAGACAATTGTCTGACACAAATGCCTGTGAACTGTACCCTTATGATCCTATTAAGGAAATCACTAAGGAGATCAAAATTACACTGGAGGAAGACCTTGTTTTGGGTTGTATCAGTAATGCAGAGTATACATTTCTACTTAATGACCATAATCCTGAATTCCAATTTTTTTACACCCTTCCCAAAATTCATAAGGCAGACAATCCCGTGACAGGTAGACCCATAGTCTCCGGTTCCAATTCAATCCTTGAACCATTATCCAAATGTATTGATCACTTTTTGAAACCATTCATACTCAAGATTCGTTCATAAGTTCAAGACACAAGAGATGTAGTTAATAAATTAGGAGGAGTCATAATAAAAGATAGTGACATCTTGGTTACCTTGGATGTAAAATCTCTATACACTAATATACCTCACAAAGAAGCGTTAGAGATCCTTTTCGTCATTGTTTAGTTGTTAACTCGTGTCCGACTTTTCATGACCCCATGGACCAGAGCATGCCAGGCCCTCCTGTCTTCGACTGCCTCCTGGAGTTGGGTCAAATTCATGTTGGTCGCTGCAATGACACTGTCCAGACACCTCGTCCTCTGTCGTCCCCTTCTCCTCTTGCCTTCACACTTTCCCAACATCAGGGTCTTTTCCAGGGAATGTTCTCTTCTCATCAGATGGCCAAAGTATTGGAGCCTCAGCTTCGGGATCTGTCCTTCCAGTGAGTGCTCAGGGTTGATTTCCTTCAGAACAGATAGGTTTGTTCTCTCAAGAGTCCCCTCCAGCACCACAATTCAAAAGCATCAATTCTTTGGTGGTCCGCCTTCTTTATGGTCCAGCTCTCACTTCCATACATCACTACTGGAAAAACCATTGCTTTGACTATGCAGACCTTTGTCAGCAAGGTGATGTCTCTGCTTTTTAAGATTCTTTTTAAGATTTTGTCATTGCTTTCCTCTAGAAACCTAGACAGCATCTTAAAAAGCAGAGACATCACCTTGCTGACAAAGGTCCGCATAGTCAAAGCTATGGTTTTTCCAATAGTGATGTATGGAAGTAAGAGCTGGACCATAAAGAAGGTTGACCACTGAAGAATTTATGCTTTTGAATGCCCACATTATAGCCCTTCAGGGATGAGAGGGTAGCTGTCACATTGCTTCTTAATCTCCTCTTTTCCAAGCTAAATAAAAAAAAAAAATTAAAAATTTTTAAAAAGCCGCTCAGAGTGGTCTATTTGATCAGATGGGCGGGATGCAAATCAAATAAATAAAAATAAATAAATAAATTGTACTCAGATTTCCTCCACTGTTACTCACCGGACTTAGTTTTCAGACCTCTTATCTTTGCCATCCTCTTTTGGACATACCTCTTATTTTATTGCTGTCAAGTCATGTCTTGAAAAATGTAACAGTGATTTCAAAATATGTGAGATAGTTAAAAAGTGTTTTTACCTTTGCCATGGTGAGTCATTTCCTGTTGTCTGACTCTCGGAACAAAGCAGAAAAAAGCCATGGCATGTTTTTTGTTAGGGTATATATACCAGGGGAACATTCCCATTTGTTTTAATGTTACTGATTCATTTCTTCCTGTTTTAAATGATATTGCCAGCTACACCCATGCTATATGCCAGGGGAAGGTGGCCACCAATATTGCCTCTCATATTCTCTCTCTCTCTTGGCCCCCTTCGCCTTGTCAAAGTCCACTCACAGTGTGGTTCCCAAAGGCAATTCTGAAAGAAGGGTAACAACTGAAAAACAATGGGAATATTTCTTAACACTGAGTGTCAGTGAAAGGGTGTGTGTTACCTATTGTTTTCTAGGTGTCACTAATTTCATAGAATTTTTCCTGCTTTCATCATTGCATCAACCTTTTCTATCAGTTTGAGTTTTTGGGTTCTTTTGTTGTTTGTCATCTTCTTTTCTGACCAGCTTTTGAGAAGCAAGCACAGAAGTATATTCCATGCCGTAAACTCAATTCCTGTACTATTGCTTCTGATTACTGTATAACTACAGCTGATAACTGTGAGTAAATGTCCCTTCTGTCTTCTTAAGATGCATCTACAATGATCACTTCTTACTTTAAAAAAAGAGCTAGACTGTGCATCCCCAGGGAGGGTTGATGAGACTGGGCTAAATCTCTTCACTCTGTTGTGTTTTCTGCCTTGTACTCTGCTGACAAAAGGAATAAGCAGTTTCGTAATATAAAATGCTTTTCTTTGTTATCAAAATAATAATATATATGGATACTAAATTCTCAGGCTGCATAGCCTATTACCTTTGTCTCCAACACATCCTTTCACCCACTCTGTTGCTGCAGCAACACTCTCCGTGGAGGTGACATCCAAAATGGTGGTTTTCAGTCTCCCTGAGGTGGCCTTCTCAAGCTCCTCTGCCCCTTTCTGGGTAAGACAGGTGGCCAACACCTGCATCCCTTGGGTGTCCAGCTGCCTGGCGAGCAGGTTCCCGAAGCCAGAGTCACAGCCAGTAATGAAGACATACTTCTCTGTCAGGTTTTCCACAGTCTGTCTCTCCCGGTACCATCGACGAAGGAAGTAAAACCCCAACAGGGCAGCCAAGTAGAGCCACATGGCTAAACCCTGCAGAGAAGAATCAACCAGTGTGTAAGAATGGAACCATATGAATTCATCAAACCTAAGTTTCTAGCTAGTTGAGTAGAACATAAGTCAAAGACCAGAAGCAATCTTGTTCTGCTGCAGGAAAAAAGAGAGTAATACATTCATTATTCCAACCTCGCAGGCTATTGACAGTTTTGCTAAATTGTCACAGTAACCTTATTCACTGATCTGATAAATGAAGTAGAAAGAGGACAGCTTACATGAAGTATATTGCCCTAGGTCTATGCATGGCCAACAACAACAACAACAATAATAATAATACAGTAATCTTAGAACCGCAGAGTTGGAAGACACTCTACAGAGATCGTCATGTCTAGTCCCTGCCCAGGAGGCACTGTGGGGGAATTGAACCCCCAACCTGTGGCTCTGCAACCAGGGACCTGGCCAACTGAACTACCCAGCAGTTCTGTGCTGAAATTGTGTGTCAAGGAGGGAGATCTGTTGCAGCTGAGGTGCAGTTTCAAAGATGGAAAGGTTTGGAGGGACCCATTTTACGCATGGGTGGGGCTCAAGGCCCCAAGTGAAGTTAAGCACAGAATGGGCATACAGTGGAGTCTCGACTTACAAACTTAATCCGCATTGGAAGGAAGTTTGTGAGTCGAAAAGTTTGTAAGTCGAATCAGCATTTCCCATAGGAATACACTGAAAACCACTTAATCTGTTCCGGCTGTTTTTGGTTCTTAGGTTGAGGGGCATTTCCCATAGGAACTAATGCAAAGCCGGTTAATCCGTTCCTACCACTAGGGGCAGAATTTTTTCTTTTTTTTCCTTTTAACCTAAATGACTTAGGTTTTTAAAAAAGGAAAGAAAAGAGGGAGAGAAGGAGGGAACAGACACCTTTTCAACAGAACATCCTGAAAAGCACATTTTCAGCCAAGACAAGCACCTTCTGGGAAAAACCAAGCACCTTTCAGAGAACAGATCACCTTGAAAAGCACCTTTTCAATCAAGACAAGCCAATACAAGCACCTTTTGGGGAAAGGGGGGGCAGCAAAGGAGGGAGGGAACACCTTTTAAAAATTCAAAAATTAAAAATTAAAAAAGTGCCAAAAAATAAAAATACAGTCTGTACCGCACTGTTCCAGGCAACACCAGCAATACCAGGCAGTACCAGGCAGTCTGAAGACTGTCTCCAAATCCACTCTCAAAACGCTGGGAAGAGCGAGGAAGCAGATAAGCACCCTCTTCACTGGCCAACGGTTAACTGAAAGTTCAAATTTCATGCTTTCCCCACCTCAAACATATTTTTTTTGTTTGTAACTCGAATCTAAGTGTGCAAGTCGAGTCAATATTTTTCTATCAGAGTGGTTTGTAAGTTGAAATGTTTGTAACTCGAGCCGTTTGTAAGTCAAGGGTTGACTGTATCTGATGCAAAGTAGTAATTGCAGATTTTTGGGCTTCATGAATGTCTTGCTCCCGCACACTGGTAATTCCTTGAGAGCAAAATGTCCCAGCAGGGCCCATGTCCATCAAGATTCCTTGATGTTCCTTGAGCCATCTGAATAGCCCTCCTTAGTTATGTTTTTTTATGGCTCTCTCTCTCTTTTTGAGATTTCATGGACCACTCTGCTAAAGCTTGCAGATTTCTTCTCTTATGTCTCGTCCTCTGTCAGTTTGTATAATGGTAACTCAATGTCTATAAACTGAAAGAACAATGCTGTTGGAATTGTATTTGCAACCTCACATGCTGTCTGTGGTTTGAGTGACTGGGAGGGACTTTTCTGGACTGGGGTGGTTGTTTATCTCTGCAGCCAATAGTTCCTTCCAGCCTCTGAATTCCAAGAGAACTCTGCCTCCTGCTGAGTCTTTCTTTCGCTCTCTTTAATCTGTTGGTGCAGTTGTTGATTTGCTGTTGATCTGTTGCTAAATATGTGTGCGGTAAAGAAAGCAGCATACATAAGGCTGAAGTTTTTAGCAACTGTAAGTTGCTGTAAGACAAATGTCTCAGATTGAGTTTTTGAGACTTTGAGTGCCAGTTATTGGGAGAGGAATGGACTCTGGGGAACTTGTAGCTATTCTCTTCTGTGGGACTCTGTACTTCTGCTGCATAGCAAAAAGAAATTTTATCTGAACTTCAAAACTCTACAGTAAATGCAGCACGTAGTTTCACTCTTGACATACATTTCATGTAGCATGACATTTTTTTTTCAGCCGGCAGGCACTGGATGGCCCAAATTTATACTCATAGTCTATTGAAATTTCCATACACAGCTCCTCAAGGATAGTATGAACTGGAGGAAGAAATGCTTTCAAAATCCCATATTTTGAGCCATGATGTCCCTCCCTCCAGCCTAAATCCACAAGGAAGTGTGTATGTGTATTTAAAAGAGTTGTATGAAGACAGACAAACCATATCCAGTGAGCTCCTTTCTTGCCAAGAGCAATGGTCAGAAGATGTCCTATGCAGAATATGCACCGGCTGTTTAGAACAGTCTGAATCCCAACCAGTAACCTGAAGATACAGCCAGACCGGTAAAACTTGCAAGGTGGAAACTATAATGCAGTAATGGAATTGTGGGACCTCACCTGGCTCAGCTGTCTAGCAAAAAGACATTGGAAAAGAAGTCAATGACACAGAATCAACTAATTAATGGTGTCCTGCACCCAGAGCTCCCAAGGTTGACACACCTCCATTTTTGCATTATCAGGCATGGTGATGTAGCAAGCATGGTGACATAATCTGCTACTCTTTTTATTGTCCCTGTCTCCTCTATGCCTGTGCCTGCCCAGAGAACCCTCCTTTGGGCCAGCTAGATAAGTCTGAGAAGGGTCGCTTGGAAGTGTGCTCTGGCATATAAATCAGTTCTTCCATTCAAATACAAACTTTTCCAAGGAGAAGAAACCACACAGTAACTCAAATCGCTCTAGCTCTCAAAAGTCATGTTCCAGCAACCTAAAAAAGAGTGTGGAGACAAAAACAATGTTGACAGTATTACCCGCAAAAAGGATTGGAGTAGTGGTGGTCTTAAAATGGCCATGAGTCAACTGTGTGTGAATGGCAGCAGCAAAAAAGCTAACACAATTCTAAGCTGCATCAAGAGAAATATAGGTCAAATCCTCTTGAGCTGTCTGCTTTGGTGTCAGGATCTGGCCCATACTGCCCTGGAAGCTGCAGGATTGAGGCCAGCCTGACCCAGGAATGGCCTGGTGTTTGCAGACTCAGGCCCTGGCTTGTGGAGCAGTTGCTGGGCCACTCAGGAGGCTCACCTGGAAACCTAGAGGGAAGGCCTACTTAAGGAGTGGTTCTCCCTCCCAGAACTTGCCTTAGCAACACTAGTCTTTGGTAGTGCTCTGCCTTTTTGCTCCATGCCTGCTGCCATCTCTGTGTCTGGACTCCAGTGTTCCTGCCTCTGCTTGTGGGCTTCTGCTGGTCTCCTGCATCTCGGTTTCTTGTTCTGGCTCTATGCTCCCGGTCCTGTGACCTGGCTCCTAGCCTGGTGCTCCTACCTCCACTTGGTCATGGCCAGCTGTGTAGTGAGTATCTTTGGACTCAATACCTTGTGTGGCGGATTGGGTCCTGGTGCCCTTGTCCATGGTGAGAAGCTGCCTATGATATCTTAGACTTTGACATTTGGTTTGATCCCAGATATCATATGTGCTGGCACTGAACCAAAGCAGAGCAATCCCACCTGCACCTAAAAAACCTTAGCCCTTGAACAGGGAGTTGCTTGTGGGATGGACTGGTTTGCCCTGGCACTTATGTCATGTGGTTGCTGGGAAAAAGGATAAACCAGCCCATTCCCACAACAAAATTAACAGAGGGCAAATGCTTACCTGGTCGCTTCCTATGTCAGGCCTAGGGAAGACTGAGGTCCTGGACCCACTGGATTTGACTTGTGCTAAGCTTGTTTTAAAACAATGTTTGATTCGGCATTCACACAATGAATTTCAAACGACAAAGAGGTTCTATGGGAACTATCTACAAATATTTGAAGGGCTATGATGTGAAAGGTGGAACAAACCTGTTTTCCGTGATTCCTGTAGGTAAAAACAGAGTAGCTCCAAATTACAAGAATGGAAATTTTGACTAAGATGAGAAAGCACTTCTTGATGGTAAAAGAGGTTTGTCAATAGAATGGAGACTTTGAAGGTTTTTTTTTTTTTAACTGAGGTAGGATTTGTCATGTTCTTGACAGATTTAATCTCTAGTCGGGAGAAGTCTAAATCCCAGGGACCCGGGGAATGTGGAAGAGCTGGCAGCTCTTGTGCAAGCTATGCTTTCCAGATTCAGATAAGGAAACTGGACCCCCTACCCCCACTTCCTTTTTTCAGCCGTGCTGGGAAAAAGCAAGAGCCCAACTACAGACATGGAAAAGGAGTCCCTAGCTCCAAAGAAAGCCCCTTTTGGTGTACGAGTTTCCTCAGCAACAAGCAGTACCCCTGGGAGGTAAACCCTTCTCTCGGGATGATTTAAAGGTTGATGGCTGACATCTCTTCTTTGGGTTGAGCTCCTGACAACAGCAGCACCACCAGCATAAAAGCGCCTGGGTCCCCAAAGCCCAGGGTCCTTGGAAAAAAAACAAAAATAATAAAAGGGATTATAATACAGAGATCTATAACTCAATTGCCTATACAATCAAATGCACAACTCTAAATTGGCCTCTGTGAATAACAGTCCCCATAATCTTTTGACCTGCAGTTTCTCTTCTACTTGCAAGGTATAACCCCAGAGACCCGGCTGCCATTTCAAAGTCTCATCCTCCCTATTTAAATCCAAACCAACAAAGTGTACCAAAGCTTAATTAAATTATCTTCTTTAATTTCTGATTTAACCAGTCTAAAGCAAGTCATCAGTTTTTCCGTCAGCACTACTGCCCATTTCTTATCCAACTATCTCTGGGAGCCTTTGCGTGTTTTTCTAAACTCTAGGAGTGTTATTTCTCGCAGCCCTTCCAAGGGCCACCACCAGTTCTTTATCAGATAAATTCTGTTTCCCCAGTAAATAATGAGAACAATAGCAAGGTCTCATCAGGGGGCTATATTTTGCCCTGTTAATTTGCTTATCCAGTCTGTTTGCCCTGTTAACTTGCTCATTATGTAATGCCAGAATGATTTGACCTTTGGAGAGGAGATCCACATGCTGCATGTTCCAATGGTCCGTTTTAGTCACAATTTCTCCTACACAGGCCCGTTACTTCCTTATTAATTTTATAGGGCACAGTTGCCTTCTATGAACTGTTTCAAATGCCATTTCTTTAGACCTGGCTGATACTAATTTATAAGGCCACATAGTCCCTATTTTTTACTCAAGACTCTTGCGGTATGTTAATATTTATTGCTGGGAACAAAGTGTCCACTTAACAACTTTTGTAGCTGGATTTCTTACTACTTTGCCATGTATGGTATCAGTTTCACATGGACTCTTGCAAAGCATTTTGCTTTCTCCTGGATGGGCTGTTTTGTATCTCTGCCACCTGCTAATCAGCTGATAACTCCGGTAAGGCTTGCCTAGTTTCCAGCCAAAACTGTGTTTTGTCTTGTTCCTAGAAGCCTGACCACAAAGCCACCTGTCTTTGCCATGCTGGTCCTTGTAACTGGGAAGGTTGCAACCGACAAACTCTAGAACAAGTGGAAGGAAGAATTTTCTCAGACTCCAAAGAGAAATGCTTGATTTTCATCTGTCCCCTTAATTTAGCAAGCAGATTTTTATCTCTTAACAATGGACTGAAGTGGTAATTTTAACTGCAGTTGCCCCCCTGAACTCCTATGTTGCAAAGATCTGTGCTCATGACTTGCATGTAGTCAATATAATATGCACTTGCAATTTACAAATATTGTCTTCAGTGACTAACCTGTACTTGAGTAAAAGGAAGGTGTCCACGTTAGAGTTGGTGTCTGTCACAGCAGAGGCTTCTTCCTCTTCTACTTAATCCACTGAAACTTAAGTGTGGGAGGGGCCGCTGCTGAATACATTTCAGTCCTATAGGGAACTCCTCCAGGGCAGGATCAAGGGTGATTGGCTCAGGTACCCCTGATACAAGATACAGTATAAGGAAAAGCAAATAGTAATTGTTAGGAGGGTTAGCCTTTAAAACATTTTTGTGCCCTAAGTGAAGCACAAGATAGCTCCGTGGTAGGTAACAATGAGTTGGTGATAACGAGATGGACGCGCACTAGAAAATAGCGGTTCTTGGTGGTTTGTGGCTACCCATGAACCATGAATGTTCTGAATTTTTTTAAAAAATGAACAAACCATGAACTGGTTCAATTTTTAAAAACTTTTGTGCCTGGGGGAAGGGGAAACTAAGCCTCTAGGACTGGGTAGCCAGCAGGAATTTACACAGGAAGTAGGACTAAAAGTGCTACATGGTGCCTGGTGTCCTAGGAATATAAAGAGGCTTAATGTCAGAAAGGGGCTAGCCCATGTGAGGCAATGTCACCTTCGTAGGATATGCAGGTTCTGTGGGGAATGATAGAACCTGCATTTGCAAGCACAATTAGAAGCATTTCCAGAATTTGTACATACAAAAGAAGGACAACAAATTAGTGAACACCATTTGAACTTCACTCACACTGGGTGCTTCACTTTGCACACAGCCTTTGAAGTCCATAAATCAGAAAAATGTCATTGCAGGAGATTACTGGAGAAGTATCCCACAGAGTCTCCATACTTCTGTAGTTCAGAATTCAGGATCTTGCTGTCTCCTAAATCTTGTCATCTTAATTTTGATGTACAGGGAACCCAACTGGAGGAAGAAGAAAAAAAATGAAACCTTGAATACAAAAGAAATATGTAAGCATCTTTTTCTCCATTCTCTGAATGTGGTTGTTTCATATAATTCCTAGATGAGAAGCCTGTAAAAATAAGTTGTTTTTTTAAAGGTCTCCCCCCCCCCAAAAAAAAACCTATTAAGTGGTAGGCCTAAGGCAGGTATTGGATTAATTTCTTGCTTTCTAGTTTTGTTGCTTCATCAAAACAAATTTGCCATAAATCATTTACTTTTTAAGCAAAACCACCAAATGTATAAAAAATACAGTGGGGTCTTGACTTGAGAACTTAATCCATATTGGAAGGTGGTTCTCAAGTCAAAAAGTCTGCAAGTCAAGTCTCCATTGACCTATAGTGCATTGAAAACCGATTAATCCCGTAACAGGCCGTTTTTGTTCCATTTTGTTTTTTTTCTGGTCTGTAAGTCAAATCTCAGTCTGCAAGTCAAACCTAAATTTTGCGGCCAGAGAAGTCTGTAACTCAAAAAGTCTGTAAGTCAAGCCGTCTGTAAGTCAAGGGTCCACTGTAAGTAATGCTTCACCATAATATGGGAAGCAACAGACACAATTTTGTTTCTTAGTACAGTATATTGTGCTAGAGTAGGCCCACTTAATCAGTGGGGATTTGGTGAGTCTACTTTTCCATTGATTCAAATGAGCCTACACATAATGTGGCTTATTCTGATGAGGCTGGCAAGTGGTTTTTTAAAAATGGTTGCTTGGTACTTTACTGCATTGAATGTGTTTTGGTGTTAATTTTCTTGGGTGGAGGGTATTGTATACTCATTGTTTCTAACTTAGATCCTTTCTTTTAATTGTTGTAAGCTGCCTAGAGTCCTTTAAGGAGAAAGGTTGGCTAAAAATTGAATGAATGAATAGTGCCATTTACTACACTAAGCAACAGTATTTTGGCCATTGATTTGGAATTATAAGTCAGTATTAGATATGTATGCTAATATATTGTCTATTATCTTTAAACTATTCTCTTTGTTTATACTAAACAGATGTAAGTGGTTCCCATTGTGTATCTAATATTCTTTCAAGGTCTTTACCCTAGGTTTGTTCGATTCATGTAATGATAGATAGAAATTGATGATCTAAATAAAGGTACTACAGTAGTTCTTTTGTTTTGTTATTAATTGTTATGGTTTGAAATCAGTGAGGCGAAATGCTTCTCCACCAATTCCCCAATATATTATCTGACAAAAACTGCTGGATAGCTCAGTGGTTTAGGGATCTGGAGCCAGAGTTTGGGAGTTCAATTCCCTACTGTGCCTCCTTAACAGGGGCTGGACTTGATGATCTGTAGGGTCCCTTCCAGCTCTGTAGTTCTAAGATTACAATCATTGTCAGAAGATGGCTTTTTGGGTTAGCCTCTATGGTGCTGTGTTCTGTTGGCATCTGTGTAAGAACCAGTATCGCCCATGTAGCCGTCTGCCTCTTCATATGGAAAGACTATAGGCCATACTAGATGGCGATATGCTTGTCACATTATTTTGAAGAGATGCTTCCCCAAATGATGAAACATGCCTTTTTTCACTCTAGGTGACTTTCTTCATCTGTGCATTTTGCATTTAGTATGCTTTGTTTTGCATTTGACTTCATTTTCAAGCCTGTTTGCGGTATACACATCTGAAGCCATCCCATAGTGGGAGGAAAAATATAGGTTTATTGCAGGGAATGGGTATTTGATTTAGTTTGATTTTTGGTAAATCCAGTTTGTAAGCAATGCTCTTCTAGCTATGCTTAATGTTTCTACATCTCAGTTGGCTCCTGCCTGCGAGTTTTCCTGAGGTCATTGCTTCTTAGAAAAAACTAGCTGTCCTGGTAGTACTCTTTGCCATTCAAGGAGAGCATATTAGATATTTAAGGGTATGATCACAATGAAGTTTGTTCTGGGTAGCCACTATCTTTTCTGTGCTGCACCTGGATGTTTAAAGTGCTATTTAGAGATGGGCATGAACCATTGGTTTGACAGTTCCTGCTGGTTTGGATGATGGGCAGACAAGTGTTCTGCAGTTCAGTGCCTTGACCCCTCCAGCAGCTGCCCATTCAAAGGTAGTGCCTGGAAGCAGGTGGGGCAGGGAAGGCATGGTGCCGCTTCCGAGTGGGTGCTCATTGGACGGTGTAGGGTGCCAAACTGCAGAATACCTCTTTAGCCATTGTACAAAGCAGCATGAATTGCTGAAGAGGCAGTTTGTGCCCATCTCTAGTGAGGTTGTTTACACATATGTTTAATTTTCCCGAAAAAGTGAATTTCAGTTGTGTATGCCTCCCATACTGTCTTTCCTCTTACCTCCCTCTGCCACTCTCACCACCCTTTTATCCACCTCTTCTGCTGACATTCACATCCCTTCTCTCCCCCCGCCACCTTGTTTAGCAAGTGAAATGCTAAAGATAGATGAAGCCTTACTCGCAATAAGAGGAATGGACCAGATTATTCAAATGGGAGTCAATAATATTAACATTAATAGTAATATTCATAAAAATGTACAAAGACAAACAGGCCACAAATTTCACATTATCTGGTGTCTATATACAGTACGAATGTCAGGAGTATGGGAAACAAACAAGAAGAACTGGAAATTTTAGTTCAAGAGGGCAAATATGACTTGATAGGAATAACTGAAACTTGGTGTCCTCTGAAGATGCCGGCCACAGAGGCCGGTGAAATGTCAGGAAGACCAACCTTCAGAACACGGCCAAAGAGCCCGAAAAGCCTACAATAACCATTAGATCCCGGCCATGAAAGCCTTCACCAATATATCTGAGAAACTTCTGTTATTCAATCTGCTTCATTTCAAAAAGTAAGTCCTGTTTCTGTTCACAAGACAAGTGATCTGACAAACGTCATTTATATTGTGGATTGGAGTAATCCACTGGTGGCAGCAAGAGAGAAAAATGTGACCTGAGCCTTTGTGAGGGAAAAACAAGCAAGGGCCACTAGGGCAAACATCACAATCACTATGAGAGAAAGCAGGTAAATGAGTAGAGTTTACTTCCCACTCTGTGCGTCATCAGGACATGCCCTGCAGCTGCCTCAAAGGACCCCATAGGCAATCAATCACGCAAGCGAAAAGTGAGACAAAATAATGTTACTGGAAGTGCTACCAACAACAAAAAAGTTCTGCCAGCTGAACATATTCATCCTAAAAGATTGTATCTACCCATAGTTAGCACTAACATTGTGTTATTGACAGGATAAATGCTAAAAGGAACAATGAGGAACATGGTAAAAGCAGCAGGAGAAATATCTGCCTAGCCCCTCCATCACCTTAAAACTTAATGAATACCTGTTAACATTGTTTTTCTTTGAAGTGCATGACAAAGAGAGGACCTCTCTCCAGGAGCCACAAGTCCTAAAATTAAGTGTAGAAGCATACATTTGAGTCAGGTGGTTGTCTTAATATAACATTTTACGAATTCTTAAAATTGAGAATAAAAACTGAGCCACCGACTGTGTTATTAATTGGTTCTCTCCTGTCAGCCTCTAAACACAAGGCAACTGAAGAGATGCATCTTGGCAGAGTGAATAGGAGTCACAGTGAATTTGATAGTGATACACCTGTACTGTACATTTGCACATTATTGGGTAGAGATAATGGATACCTATATAAGCTACATTCCAGAATGGTGTGTGCCAAGGACTCAACTGTTTCTTCCTTACAGGGGCATATCCTTTCTCCACAGAGAATGTTACTAAAGCACCCTTTTAACAAGGCTGAGGGAAAGCAATTAAACCTAGCCCTTGAGAAGCCAAAATAGTGCCTTGGTACTGTGGTTTGATATAAGTAATTTGCTGGCTTGGTAAAGTTAAAATTTTAACCAAAGTACATTGATGAACAGTTCCTGTCTGCACATGCTAGTGAATACTGGAGGTCTATATCTTTAATATGTTGTACAAGCATTGACTTGGTACTTGTCATAGGACTGACTCAGAAAGAAGTCCATAGAGAAGCCTAAAAGATGTAATTTGTTTGTAAATCCCTTATGCCATGAGCTGGTAAATACATCTTTTTGTAGATAGTGTAAATACCCACTGGTTGTGGGAGCATATACCACTTTCAACAAGAATCGAAATGCATACAGCCAAGCTTGACATTCCACCGATTGGAGGCCAGCCTCTAAACACAAGGCAGCTGAAGAGATGCATCCTGGCATAGTGAA